ATCCCACTTAAACACCACTTTACTCCTTAGGTTTCCTGGGTAAGCCAGGCATAGACAGTTTCCACAAAAGATTTAGTATTTACTGGTTTGAAAGAAAAGCCTTTCTATTACGTTTGGATAGGGCAGTCTGTGCACTACAGTGAAATATGTCACAGTGCCTCAGCAAATACTGAAGTCACTCTGAAACAGCAGAGAAGCCAGAAGCTGGAAAAACTTCCAAGTATCATGTCTTTATCACCTCCTTCCTTCTCTCAAAGTCAATGAATACAGCCCTTCATTTAGGAATGGGAGAGATTCACAGTTAATGCAAGAAGCTTGTCACAGCTGCAGATATTTTTCCTTTCATTATCTAATTTCTAGGGAAATAGTTTTCCTCAAACTTTGCATGAGCAATGAATCAGTTGGCCATTGTGAAAAAAACAAAATAAAATCACTGTTGTAGATCATTAGTCTCATTATATTCTAGGGTCACAACTTCTCATCTCCTGCAGCTGAGCCTTATTTCCAATCCATCCATTTTACTAATCATCCTTTTTGTTGCTTCTGATCTGTGATAACATCTATGTGTTTAAAGGTTTAATTTTTCCTCTAGAGCTTCCTCCTACTCTCTAAGTTGTTTACAGTTAATGTAGTATCCTGCAGCCTCCTTAATTGCTTGATAACGAGTCCCTTGTGTGCAGCTACCTTGTGTTTGTTCTTGTACCCATGGTGCTTGAAGGGCAGAGCTTCCATGGGGTCATGTTCTCCTCAAGTGAAAACAAATCTTTCCTAATTTTAGCCAGTGAGAAATTTTAGTCTTTGTCCTTCTCCACAAGAAAGTTTCCTCTTGGTGTACTGAGTATAACTGTGAATGTCTCCTACCCCTAGCTTAATAGTGTCAGTTACCCATGCTGTGCCTGTTCTCATATACAGGGCACAAAGGAGGAGATGATAGATCTGGTTGTTTAAAACAAATTTTTTTTGGTTTTCATATTAGTTGGCATGGGAGTATTTGTTACAACAATGTCAGAACACTCCTCACCTGAGCTATCTCCTGATGCCTCTTCCAAGCCTGAAATGGAAAAAAAGTAACCCAGATATAAGTGTGGGTCTCATGTGAGTCTTCACTGTTAATTTAAATCTATTTTCTTGTTCAGATCTTACTATGCTGACCTATCTTTTCTCAAATGCTATTAAAATATTAAAGACCAACAAAAACAATCAGTAAGGCTGTCTAAAGAGCCAAGAATTATCATATAAATTCATAGTGCAAAATTTCAACAAAGAATATGAAATCTATGGAAACTTTTTTGCAACTTTTTGCAGCTTCAGAGATTATTTTCTGGTGCTGCAGGTCTGTAATAAATGGGCAGAGTGCTTTAGCTGAGAAAATGTTAACCTTCATGACCAGGAGAACATCACAAGAGAGATGGTGTTTGTGCTCTTGCCATACACTTGCTTTAGTTGCTATACATTTGTCTGGTGCAAGTTTAAAATATGCCCTCCTCTCCCCAGCTTTGCTGTGAGAATTGGTTGGTGTTTGGCTTCTACAGAAATGACAAACAGGGCACACCCTGGTCCTCCTTGACAAAAGAAATGGAGAATCTAAGGTTGATATTTTGTTAATGCAATTCTGAATATAAACTTGGGTAAACTCCTGAGAAGTAAGCTAGCCCCTGTAATGCACTGACCATTTCACACAGTATCCTGGATTCTGCTCTGCCACTGCTATCTTGAGTGGCTTCTGGAAAGGCACTCCAGTTTTGGAAGTAAATTCCTTGAAGTCTGCTTTACAAACCCTCACTGAAACAAAGAACAATATACAACCAAATGAAACGTAGTGCATTGGTTAAGTAGAATAACATGTTGAAAAAAAATGAAACCATCTGAAAATCAAGTTGAACAATTACTTCCATTCCTCTTTTCTAAAAGTCACTGTGTACAGTAGGGTAGCATCTTGAATAGCTATGTGCCTTTCCAATACAAAATACAGGCAAAAAAAGAAAAAGAACAGTCCTTCAATATTAAAAGCATTCCTGCTGTGTCACATCATGGTGCCTGCACAAGCTGAATTCAAGACTTTTTATTGTTAAGAGGCACTGCCATTACACTACATTTTAATATGGATCTTTGCCAACAATCATAAATAAAACACTCACTCATAAACAATTCCTAAAGGCAGTGTGTCAGATGGTATTTCATTACAAAAATGCTTGCTGCAATGGAGTACCATAGGCCATGGTTGGCTGGGGCTTTCTTTCCCCTGTGTATCTCTAGGTGTTTTGTCGGTTCCCAAAAGGCTTTTTAGTTAATGTAAGCTATGCCTACCAGAAGATATTCATGCTAATGGATGGAAATTTCACAGCTAAAGCATAGAGAAAATCAGTGTAGTTTTCAAGAGCTGTATAATGTGGGAAACCTGTAAAAGCTGTGAGAAACAGGAAAATCTCAAAATAGGTTACAGAATGGTAACAAGAAAAAAATGAACCTGTGGTAAAATTAAAATTGTATTTGCTAAATATCTTTAAATCCGTAACAGAAAACATATTCAAATACACAGATCCCTATTCTGCAAATTCTGAAATTTTCATGAAACTGAAAATATGATATAGTCTGCTGCATGGTTAAAATAACTGGACAGCCTTTCTCAAATTCAGGAAGAAGCATGTGAAATAAAAGATGAATGTCTCTCTATTTACTAGGCTGCTGTGGTAGTTGTAGCAATGAAGAGTTATAAAAGACTAATTTTTAAAGTAATCTTCTGGTTTTCCTGCTCTCTTGACTCCTCTTATGTTCTCTGCAATTAGAAGCTCACCACATACATTGGAAAGCATAAGGCTGAATTACTTTTACAGAAAACTGCATTTAGTAACTCATTAAGAAGCTGACATCACTGCAACAAAAGTTCAGTCCAGTCCTGGCAAGCACTGAAACGCAGAAATCTTCACAAAGCTGTTTGCAATTTGCAGCCAAAACTATCCGCAAATGCTGGGAATAGACTGCAGTCCTTAACGACACACAACTCCAGACATTTCCATGAGGGAAGTTTAATCTACAAGGATGTAGAAATATAAAACAAAGTATTGCTCAAAGTAACTGTTTGTCAGATCATGTGCCTCTAATTTGGTTTCCAGTGACATTACACAGCTGTAGCCGATGGATTCCAGCCAGACCCAACAGTCACTGAAGTTCTTTTTTTGTTTAAATTTAGCATCTGAACATGTTTTGCCCATCATTAAAATGGAGAGTAATTGCTCAAAAGTGAACTGTAGAAGTTACAACTGCAAAGAACTTATTAGGTCATCTAGTCCCATCCTCAGAGCAATGTAGGATTGAAACCACATTGCAAGAAATACTGAACAGCACTGTGTTTGTTTTCCTTCCCTTCCCCCTCCTCTCCAAATTACTTTTTTCCTTTATTGTAATCATTATCACTATATTCAAAATTTCAAAAACAACCACAAATGCCAGTGTAAACATGCTTCAGGTATATAAGTAATATAAAGTATTGCACATACAGAAGTCCTATGTTCAGTATCTCCTTATGGTGCTATTTCATCAGAGTTGAGCAGATGACATGATTACAATGAGCTGCTGGTATTATTTCTGAAGCTGCTGCACACAACAATTAAATATTTACAAAAGCTGGAAGCTCACTTTTTCTGTTCATGGAAGGATGATTTTGCCTGGAATGTATGGGATACAGAGGTGTGCAAATATGGGGCAGGCTTGCTTTGTGGTGGTATTTATCAGCTGATGTCTCTGATCTACAAAGGATCAGCTCAAAACCATCTGGGGGAAGGAGTCTGTTAATGGTTTTCTGGGGGACTGGGAAGTTGTGAGGTCTCCCCATCCCTAGGAAACAGAGGTGCTTGCTTGTGTGAAGCACACAGGTGCTCACCTGTATGCTTCAGAGACACATCTCCTCTCTGTAAGTCTTGTGGGCACACTGCAGCTGATAAGCTAAAGACTCCATAAAAGGTCTCACAAATTTGCCTTACATATGAAGACGTAACACAGCTCCTGCTTGGATTTCTCAGCTTAGTCTGCATACAAGAAATGATAAAACCGTAAAATCTTGTGTCAGACTGGAAGAACTGATAATGTCTCATGACTACTGCTATCTTGAAGTATTAGCAAGCAGAAGGGCAGCTGTTTAAAAGGAGCCAAAAAGTGGCAGAATGGATGAGGCCATTTACCATTTGAAAAGCTGAGATGGATTGGAAAGAAAAGCAACTCAGGAGAAGGCAAGTGATGTGTATGTTTCATAAAATGAAAAATCCTCCTGAATTTCACACTCACAGCCAGCACTGAAAGACTCAAGCTTTCACATAAAAATTTGTACAGATCAGGGCTTAGAGCCCCTGCTCAGATAAAGACCACTTACTGATAGAAGGGAAAGAATGAAACATCTCTTATTTGGAATCCTAGACACAGAAAAAAATAATAAATTAAAATTTTTACACTAAGTGTATATTTTTACTCTTTACCTCAAAAACTCTTTCTTTCTTTTTGTTCATGATTGGCTGGCTGGCATCTAATTTTTCTGCAAAAATACAAATCCTGTCACCCTTTCCTGCAACACTTTACTTCCAAAATAATTTCATTAAGCCCTAAACATTAAGCCAAAAGCATTACAAGATGCTGCCAGCTTGTAGACTGAAAAATGAAAAAGGCAAAGATTTCTTCAGGTGAACAATTAAGGCAATAGCTGTTCCATTTTAAGAGGCGATTTCAACAAAGTAACAGGGCAAAGCCAAGAAAATTTGCCCCAGCCTCAAACCCCCCCAAGCCTTTTCAATATCACCACTGTGGCTGTGATAATTTAAAACAATGTTTCAGAAATTACTGCATCCTGTGTCAGTGTTCAGCTGCCAGCCATCAGCAAAGCAAGGACAGGGTTACTCATCCCTGTTCTATATTGTGCATAGATTTAGTTATCTGGCTGTGATACTGCCAGCTCAGGGCTGAAAGAGATACAATGTGTACTTGCTTATCATATGTCTCATCTTGTAAAGAAGTTGTGTTCTGGGTGTACAATGTGTTTATTCTCCTATTTACATGCAAAGTATGTGATTTCTATTATTTTTTCCTTTCTTCTCTCAAAATATATGTTGATGATTATATCAGATACTTATTCCAAAAAGGTGGAAAAATAAATAATTGTGCCCCGTCCATAAAGTTATGTATAGACTACCTTTGTATTTCAGAAGTACTTTCACAGTACTGATATATTGCCCGTCTCCCTGAGCCATAATTTCATACAAGTTCTTAGGGAGGTTTCAAAGGTACTCTGCAGTAGCATTCAGAAGGTTTGTCCTGCTTCATCTTCTAGACAATACAGCAATGAAGGCATTCTCTCTTTGAGAGATTTGGGCTTGTCCTGGAAGCATCTCAGTATACCACATGTGCTCAGAAGCATCTGCTGAAACGTAGACTGGAATATGGGATAAAAATTCTGTTCAGTGGTAAATATGTTTATAAGGCAGTGATAAGCAGCTTTCTTTGGCAAGGATGGCCATCATGTGGCATATTCTCAGAACGTTGCATAGATCAGATTGACACCATGTCACTTGCAGGTACAAACGAAGACTGGTTGGAAGGAATCTTTCATTTAATCCTCATTGTGTTTCTAGTCTCTCAGGCAGGATTCTGACGTGAACTGTCACTCTCTTCCTTTAAGCATCAGTAGTCTTGTTATTTGTCAGCTGTTGCCTGTCAGCCATGTCATCTTGAGGAGGTCTAGCTCTGTCAAAGAAGCCACACTGCAGAAAACAATCAACAGAAACAAAGATGTCATGGTAAGACAACCACAGGAGCACTCAGCTGCAGTTGGATTCTTCACTCAGTCAACCTGAAATGTTGGGCACAATATATGGCAGGCTGAGAGACTCTGAAGACATTTTATTTCTATCCAAATCATTCCCTATGAAAGATTTAGATGCAAGGCATTGAGTTCCAAAGCACAGCTTTAAAAATCCAAATTATGTGAAAGATGTTTTTGCAGGAGATGTAAAGCTGGTCTGAATGCTGGTATGGGCTGATGCTAATGAGAAATCTGCTCCTCTCAGTCCAGCAATGCACTCATTCAGAAAACAGATTTTATCTGACAAGCAGTAATAATAAGAGATGTGTAATATGTGTTGGGAAATGTCCACAGGACAGTGTTGTGATGCAATCTAAAGATCGCGAAAGATGAAATTCCGCCCATCTTACTGAAACTGCCTAAAAGTCACTCTTTTAGTTGAAAGGTTGAAAGTTCACAAGTGGTTAAAGGAAGGTACCACCAAAAGATAATTTCTCCCCTCTTGCATGTTTAGACATGACTTTTTGTTGCTCCTACCTGACCAGGTGAAGCTGGGAAGTTAGCATAGGCTGTACACCTAACCATAACATTTAGGCAGCTAAAGACAGATGAACCATATCCTAACGTAAGAAATTATTTCAATCTTATTTTTAAAGTGAACTGAGAGGAAGTACAAAAGCTACACTGGCTCCCTGTAATATAGCAGTTTCCAGTAATTTGTCTTAAAACTTGTGAAGGGAGTGTAACAACCAACACAAAAACAGAAAACTTTAAAAAAACAAAATATATTATATATAAATATAAAAGGAAATCTTCTAAAAATTAATCCTTAGAACTGGGAGTGTTATTCCATGCTGACAAAAACTGGAAATTCCTGAATTATTCAGAGAAAACAAAGTTAGAGTAACTTCTTTTTGAACCTAAACATCCTGAAATAGAGGATCATAGGTCTTGGGAAACAGAGCCAAACTCTGTATGCCCATTTGTAACCAGGCTTCAAAAATAAAGGAGGACTTTGAAAACAAGTTCGCTGCATAAAAGTCAATGACACTAGCATGTCAGAAATGCCAAAACAAAAAAGACACGTGTACTGTTGTCTTTGCTCCACACTGTTAAAGATCATAAAATTCTAGCCTCTCTTTTTATCTGTTAGAATTTTTCAGAATTTTCAGACTTTTTTTTATAGCAGCAGTAACAGAAATAATGGAACATACCTTCCATAAAGCTAGGGTCAGCAGAGCTAGTACCAGTAGTCCAAGAAGTATGGCTAGTATTATAACCCATAAAGGGATCTCAAAAGAGACATTTGGGGTGGACCAAATGACAGATGTTCTGATCTGCAATGAAAGGAATATATTTAATGAACAAAAATGAAGTAAGTAAAGCAAGTAGAATACAGAGGTCAGAAGCATTGACTTCAACCGCATTTTTCAGATTAGAAATACACATTGACTGAAATTTTCCCATGTTAGCTTCATTTATTGTAATTTCCTTTCCACTTGTTCATGATAATTACTAGAAATGGAATTCACACATATATGAAAGTCTTGTCATATCAGACTTAAAAATTATTTTCCCATAATACAGAATGGCAAAAAAAGTGCCTTCTTGTGCAGATGCTTCATGAACATTCAAGGAGCAAAGTTCTGCTCCTATGCTGGTACAGCTTAGGCCAGTACACTGAACTGCACTGAATTACTCCCAAACAATGGTTGACTTTGGCCCAAACTCTTAATTCAAACCACAGTAGATACCAGCTGCATTTTTCTTATTTTAATTTCTGCTGACATACCAGTATACATTTTTTCCGATGATTTGAATTTCAGCTAAGCAGTCCAAAAATGAAACTCAAGCAGTGTGTATTGTCCTTTTGATAAAGCCTAACATACAGTCTGATGTTATCTTCTTTAAAAGAAGCCAAGCATACAGACTATTACCTAAAGGGGAAACAAGCGTGAAACATACTCTCCCATTGTCTGAGGCTCTACAAAGCAGCAGATGTTAACATCAGTTACCAAACTTTTAACTGACTCGGCAAACTTCTCTCTTTAGACCTTCATATGGACAAAGAGTAGTAATAATGCTTTTGTATTTCTCCTTTTGAGGACATCCACACTCTCCTCCTCACTCTCCTTTCCATACTTTGTACAAAATTTATTTTATGCTCTCAGGCTCTGCTTGGAAGGCTCCTCATCAGTATCACTGAATATTTGCTCTGTCTCTACTACTCCCAAGTGGGAAGGAATGAGTTTGGGCTTTCCTTAGCTCTTCCAACACAATTATATCCCTTCAGTTTTAGTTTATTTTCTCAAACTTTTCTCTTTGTTGTTAGCCTAGGATGTGATTTCTCTCTGGGGTTTTCTCTTGGACCTCTCTTGTCTACTCCTAGTCTCCCTTAAACAGGATAAGTATGTGACAGATGGAAGTTATTTGCTTTATGACATGATGAAATCAGTTTGCAAAGAAACTGATGACACAAACTCTCAAATGATATTCCTCTTCTGTACTCTAGGTATAGCTAGGAAATCTACTCTTTCTAATAAGTTTCTTGGCTATTGTCCAGTACCTAAGCTGCACTCATTCTAAATCTTCTATGTTTTTTTTCCTCTATTACCTTAGTGTTTGATGCACTAGAAATTTAATGAAATACTAATTTCTAATTTGTTCATTGAAGGAACAGCAGCCTAAGTTTTAAGAATGGTCACAACTCTGTAGTTCAGCTCAAAACTGTTTCCATTCCTGTGCCTCTCACTTCTCTCCTTGAAGATGGAAAATTTAATCATTTAATTATTTCTGCAACATCCAGTCCTTTTCTCTCTCACTTTTTCTTGTGATCAGCATTCTCTCATAGACTTTTCATTCTGAATGCACCAGTAGATCTGTCTTCCAGCTACTGGCAGGCTTAACTGGAAAACACTTCTGAATAGTCCCTTTCACTTCATCTGTGCAGCCAGCTTCTCCCTACTCTGACACACAGAGATAGCGATGGTGAGCTCTACCAGTGCACGTATTTTTTATACTACCCCTCCCCAGGAAACAAAACGTAGGGACAAAATTTCTATGTAGGAAACTACTTGCTTTCTACCAAAGTTGACACTGAGGGTTACACAGAAAATTTCAAGATACTGCCCAGTCCTGGAGCTTGCACTTTAACATTGGCTCTGAAGATGAAGTACTTGCAGTGCTTGCCATACCGTTGTTGACCTAACAAACACAGCTAGTACCTCTTTGGAGCAGCTCAAAATAGTCATAAGTATAAAATATTTCAAAAAGATAACATCTACAAAGAATAAATATGAAAGCTGATTAAAGCAAGAAAAAATGATTTTAAGGCAAGCAGCATTAATAAAACAACCCATGAAATGTCACCCTTATGTCCCAACAGATATCCTGATGGTCCAGTCAGGTGATAACCATGCCATTGCAGGAATACCATTCCCTTTGCCAGTCTCCTCTTTGGGTTGCTTCTTAATCACTGCAAAATTTCATAGTCTCTCTGCATCATTAGATTCAGCTAGAGCAGAGCTTATTTAGTAAGGATAAAATGTTCTTGAATGGCTCTGCTTGTGTCTCAGAGTGGCATTAAAATGCAAGGGCAGAGAAAATGAGAGAAGGGTCATTTGAACTGTCTGCAGATTCCTCCCAAGAAAAGCCAATTAAGGAAAAAAAGATGAATTCAAGTAAAAGGTTAACTGACCAGGGAAAACAGAAAGGATGCAGTTACAAGGAGCTCCTTGAAGGCTGTAGAAAGATAGGAGCTCAGCTGTCCAAGGAAGAAAGCATCTCCATTCTACTGCTTGAAAATCATGAACGCTGCCCTGAACCATGTGTGATCACATACAGCACAAGAGTTGGGAAGTGCTGATGAAAATTCATGGGCCCCAAGACAGCAAAAACACACTGATCCAAAAAAATCCCAACTCATTCACAATGTGCACTTCCTCTGCTGGTAAACTCTGAGGTACGACACACAGTAAGTTACATATTTTAATTATTGTTTGGAAAGGACCTGACACTGTCACACTGTCAACATGCAGATTGCATATCTTAATCGTCTAAGATTTTAGTTTCACTATGGTTTCTGTTCATAACAGTATCACTTGCCTGAGCATGTTGCTGTGAATCTGGAGCACTAATGTGAAAGACTAACCAAAACCATTCTAAAAAAAATATTTGTAAAACAGCAGGAACAAAAAAAAAAAAGCAAGCAGGGCTTTCTGTTGTCTCAAGTTTAATGAAATGACTAACTCCATTTTACAGCAAGACCAAACCACAGGGAAGACCCATTTACATGCAAAAACTTTATTTTGCCATTTCTGCTGCTGGTAGCTTCAGCCAAATTCCTAGGTGGCATAATGTGACTGAGATAAATGAGGAAATAGGAATCAGCATTGCTGCTTTAGGCTGGATTGTAGAACATCAGTAAAACAGAACAAAGATTCTGACAAGTGGCTGGTTAGGTATAGATGGCTTGACAGATGGACGGTCATCCTGGATCTGGGCAGGAAAGGGTTAATTTTTGCTGTAGCCTGGAGGGGGCACAGTCGGGACCTGGGGGTTACTCTACAACAGCTCACATTATTGCCTGAGATGGGGGAAGGGAGTCTCTTCCAAAGTTCCTCCCAGTCGAGTAAGCCTGGCAGAGGAAGCTGTCAGGTATTGTCTATTGTAAGGGAGCTTCCCTGTCAATCTTTCCTTTCTTCTACCCTCTGTCATCAGTATTGTTGCTATTACTGTTAATTTTCTTATCTCATTGCTATTTCCTGTAAATCGTTCTTATATCAACTCCTGATCTTTACATTTTGTACCTTCAATTCTTATTTCCAACCTGTTGCAGGGTGAGAGGGAGGGGAAAACAGGGAAGAAAGCAAGCAGTGCATGGTTTCGAGAGTCCTAGCGGGAGAACTAAATTGGGGAGTACCATTCCTAAACTATGACAACAGTCGACTGAAATTGTACATCCTGAATATGGAAATTATCTGAGTGGACAAGTACTTCTTGGAGTAGGAAGAAATTTTGGTTTACAGATTTCTTCAGACAGTATTTAACTGGACCACATCTGGTTCCTTGGGCACCAAGTCCACTTTAACCCAATCTAAATAACTACTTCAGCACTACAGTGCTCTGAGACAGGGGTGAAGTAAACACCGTGTGGTGTTTAGGTCTGAATAGTTCATAGGGCAGCATATGATTGCACAGGAGCAGAGCAACAACTAAACTCTTAATGTGTGCCAGTTTGCTGTTCAAAATTAGGTAGGGTCAATCCAGACTTCAAATCATGTTTGATTTCCTCCTGAAATCGGTGGAAGCAGACTATTTCATTAGGGATGGTAGATTTCAATAGGTTTTGGATAAAGCTGGCAGTAGTGTATGCAACTACAAGTACACATGTTGCCTTTCCATCTTATGGAAGAGCAGGGTATCATTCATAGTCCTTAGATTATCAGCAATGAGCAAAACAGCAGAAATTAGGTCTATCCTTTATCAAGCAGAATGCTGCTGCAAAGCTGGCATATTTCTCTTCTCTTTTAGCCTGAGTTCAGCCAAAGCTAATGAAATATTTGCTGGCTAAAATCTTGAAACCATCCCGTTGCACTCACACCCTTTTCCCATGAATCATTCTTTGCCGTGGGTTTTAAAAGCAAGGGGATGGTTGTGCTAAGTACTTGAGATTTATTTCTTGAGCAGGGAATTATATGTAGGCATCAGTCTCACTCCTGCCTGTGTGCATTACCAGTAGGATATAATGCCCTGGGCTGCCACCCTTTATACTCTGCACAAAGACTTGCAAGGCTACTAATGCAATTGCTGGTGAACAGTTTGACACTGCAAGTCCTGAACACCCACAGAGTTGAGGCAGAAGCTGGAGGGGAAGACAGAAAAAAACCATTCCTTCAGTTTTGTCTGCCTTGTTTCACCATTTTTACAGAGGACTGTTGCTTCTTCACCCCATGCTGTCCACAACAGTTTTACATATGACTTTGATTTAAAACAAGTTTGTATTTTCAGCTTGGTTTTTGTTCTCCACCATGTAGTAGGTTTAGTACTGCAGGATTAGAGCCAGGGAATGTTTCCATTTAAGGTGGACAATATGAAGTAGAATTTTTACACAAGTGTTGCATGTTGACTCTGTACTTTAGATGTGTGTTGGCTTTCCTCTCTGTTCAGGACAAGACTTTATGCTGAACGCTGAAAACAATGCTTGCTTCTCTGTCAGGTAGGTGAAAAGCACGTCTCACAGAATTGAGAGGAGCCATCTGACTTTGACACTGCTGAACATCTCACACCTTTTGTATCCAAAGGGTGCCAAAGAATGGCACCTGCCTCAGGCACAGAGATGAGGGTGAAGTCAAGCCGAGAGTTATGGACAGAGCCTCTGTTTGCTATTGGAAATAAAATCCACAGTAGTCTTAACACAGATGCTGTCAGATAGTCTTGACTTCAAAAGACCTCTTGTGGTTCCATGAAAGTCATTTGTTGCTTATATAAGTGTTCTTCTGGAGAGGCTTTTAAAATGTATATTTTTAAAATTGTGCCATTGTTAAGCTTGCTGTAAGTAGATAAAATAATTATTAGGGGTTTTGCCACTGTATTTTGTCCAGTTTGGATTTTGCTTCAGATTTTGGTGTTAGTGAGTCTTCAAAATAGTCTTTGCTTCCTCTGGAAGGGAGCACAAAACAGAGGGAAGCACATGTAGTAATCTGCTGGTTCACTGGAACTTCCATGTGTATAGGTGGGAGTTAGGTTTGTCTGGTGCAAACTTCCAGCATTTGTGGGGTCAGAATTCAGCGCATGCCAGTGGGATGCTCACAGAGTTATTTTTTTCCTCCCTGGTTCTTTAAAAGACACACTTTAAAAAAATAAAAATAACTTCTCCATAATTTATTCTGCTACTTTAAGGAACAGCAGCTAAATTAATTATTATTCTAGTGCTACTGCTTTTGCTGCCTATGATGGATGACCTGTCTTTTAGTCTTCAGAAATTTTCTTTACAGAGGCTGAGAAACTGAAAAAGAGGAATTCTTTTGTACTCCTACATGTCTCCATCCAACCATTACAGCATGATGTTCTTACATATTCTCAAAAATGCTCAAAATAGAATGCAAAAGCTCCCTTGAGCTTGAAGTCACAGTTATGTTTACATTACAAATGTTTATACAAATATATGTAATGAGGAATATAAGCTTGTTTAAAGTACTATCACCATGTAATAACTAAAGGAAGTTACAGGCCCTAGTCTGAAACCAATGTTACTCACTGTAGGACACTGGTCAAATAGTTTAGACTAAAGGCATCCACGGTGAAAATCCTATCAAACGTTTGAGAAAAACAACCTTATTTTACTAAACTCCCAAACTGGCTCAAGAATCATAAATTAAAATAGAGAGAATTGCTGCTTATTCTAACTTTGTACTTTTTGTAATAAAAAGTACTTTCATGTTGCACATGAAATTCACCAAGTAAGTATTATTTACCACAATAATACTTGTAGCAAAAAAATGAAAATTTTCTCCTCAATGAAATAACAGTTAGCAAGGAAATTCAACCAGTTGTATAATATATGGTTGAAATTCTAGGACTATCAAAATTAATGGAAATACTATTATAGATGTCAATGGATTCTGGTTTAAGCTCCATACTAATTTTCTGTTTGATACATTTTCATTCTAATGTTTTATTATAAAAGATCCAGATTTTCTTACATTTACCTAATGTTTCACAGACCTTTTTGTCATGACCCTGTCTTCAAGATTCATGTGTCCAAGACCTATATTCCATAATGATGATAAAGTCCTCAGAGCTACAAATAGGACTACATGACTCTGTAGGTTACTGATGTATACGGGATTATTCATGCCATTAAAACTAAAAGTAAATACCAGCTGGTATAATTGGAATTCAGCACTACATGAATTAAATGAAGGACATGTGCTCTATTCTTTAAAATATATTATCTTCTTTATATAAAATTTAAAGTGCTAGCTGATTATTATATATATACTTTTGAAAATTGATTTGAAAAATATTGGAATCTTTCTTCCATCCTTTCATTGTCTGAAGGAAAACCATAAACCTTGAAATAAATCCTTGGAAGCTTTTAAAACACAACTAGTGATCTTTTTCAGAAGGAGCAAAAATATTAAGCTTTGCCCAACTTCAAGGAAATATTTCTTCTTGCAAGTGGAACATCAAAGAACTGTTGCATATATAACACATCAAGCTGTAGAGCTGGCAAGCATCCACTGCCATGTCCAGATATGAAACAACATAAAAGTGTTATCATTTTTCAACATTTTACAGTTGCCATTACAGGCATTTTGCTGTGAATCATCTGCTGCAAATAACAAGCATTATACTGGCTGGAGAAAGAGAATGAAATGCTTATCTGATCATTTGGTAGATCATCTGACACTTGTTGAGAACAGCAGGCTATCACCTGGGGTAAAGCACTCCAGCCCAGATGAAGGCCCCACTATCAACAGAATTCTGCACATGTGTTTCTGGTATGGAACACATGCTGCAAGAAAATAAAAAGAGCCTGAGCATATCTGTCAGCTTGGTGCCTTTGAACCTTTCTGGATGAATACTGCATTAAGCACCAATCCTCTTTAGTGAAATCATGGTTTTACTGATGATGGAGGTTGGAGTCACTGTGCACACAGAACCAAGATTTTACCTTGCGTTTTCCCAGAGCAAGTATCAATAAACCATTCAATCTGCGCACGTACAAAACAAAACTTTATAGCCTTTATCCTCTAAAATATACTCTTGGTAAACTATAAAGTGTATTATTCTGTTGGTTTTCTAAGTAAGAAAGTATTCTGTCCCTTCTACTACACCTCAACAGACTGATAGGATGTATTTCCACCACAATTCAATTAGCAAAGTTTGAACTGAGCTTACCTTTTAAAAGAAGGAATGTAACTGATGAATCTTTATTAAGATGAGAACATTAGGCCTTAAAATTTCAGATTACTCTTATACTAGAATAAATTTTTGCCCTCATATTTTACTTATTTCTATCAGTAATGACAAAATAGAGTGAATTTTAACCACACTATTAGACACCATAAGAAGAAAATGACTTTAAAGTGCTCCCCAAGCCAAATCCTTCAGCACCAGCAAACAATTAAATCAAACTTATGCCTCCAAAATTAGTTTTTCATATAGTACTCCAGGACCATACAAATCTTAGTCTGCAAATAAGGCAAGTACTTTAGCATCTATCTATAACTTCCATAAGGATTACCAAGTAAATTTGTATTTTGCACTTGATGTGCTGTGAGGTGCAAATCTGACAAAGGCATACAGACCTTCCTGAAAATCAGGGTATCAAAGAAGCTTAATTCAGATAAGAAAGAAGTTGCTGTAGACAATACACAAGCTTGTGTGAGAGAACTGCTGACTGGCAGAAGAGTGAGATCTCTAAACCTAACAGAAACATGATTCCGGATTTTGCATAAAAATTTCCTCCAGATTTTTTACCCCAAACAAGGTAACTAGATACTTGCTTTCACAGTTCTATTTTCTATTGGGTGAAAAATCCATCCTTCTTGCAATAAAGCAGTCTGCACATTAGTTCAGCAAAAAATTACTTTAAAATGTAATTAGAATCATGTATCATCAACTTCCACAGAAAGCAATGAAGTTATTTCCTTTAGGTATTATTTCAGGAATTTACACTAGAAACACAGGAAAGCCCAATCTCGATATTTTCATCTGTAAGAATGTTCACAGCTGTGATCAGAGTGACCAAATACATATGCTTCACACAAAGACATAATTTTCAGTTACTTACTGCTATGCTTCCCTTGGGGAGCTTTGCTGGTTGCACTTTATATGGCATGCTCTTAACTTCAAAGGAAACATTGGAAGAAAGACTATAGAGATCATTCTTTCTCTGAAATAACAGAAAAAAATAAATTATTAAAATCCATGTTTATATTTAAAAGCATTATGAAAGATAAGCAGACAAAAAAAACTCCACTGATTTCATAAATCAAAGATGGTTTCTTTTGGTGAAGAGTGCAGGAATATTGAGACCTGTATGTGTCCATGAGATAAATACATCATAAAGCTGCAATACAAAGGCCACATGTTCAAAATGGGGAAGAAGGGTTAGATATGGAGAAAGATACATACAGTTGCTTCTCATATTTCTCTCTGAAATAGGTGAGTTAAAAGCATGGGTGAAGTTTATGGGGTGTCTGTGTTTTAAACCCTCACCTTTGCTGACCAGGCTCAACAACCAACATAGGTATATTGAGAACATTTACAGGCCTATGTTGAGACCAGGTTGGTAGAGCTTCCTGATAACATCAAAGAAATGCCTGTGCCTTCTCGCCAAACAATAGGAATATCCATCTCTGAACTTCATATACACAGAATCACAGAATAGTTTGGGTTGGAAGGACCCTCTGTAGATCCGCTAGTCCAATTCCTCTGCCAAGGCAGAGTCAAGCTAGGCTTAGAATGTGACTGATTTCCCATTACAGTAGAGCTCAAAAATCCTGCTCACCTTGCTTGTTTACTAAGTTGTGTCAATGTGAGAGGAATGTACAGCAGCCATTGTTTAACTGGCCACCTAGTAAAACATTTATATAGCTGTCATTAAGCATTTCAATAAACCCAAAGAGGTGCAGACAAAATGTGCAATTGATTTTCTGGGTGATACTACATGAAACTTGTCTTGTATATCCCTTCCCATGTAAATCTGGGATAGTGATACGGATCTTGTTTGGAAGTGCTTCAATATTCTCTGAGAAGCATTAGATTTTTAAGTGCTAATATGGCCAATGAAATCTAGAGGGTTAGGAGTTATGACTTTTATATCCTTTTTCATTATTATTATCCTTTTTCATTATTATTACTATTATTATTATTATTATTACTACTACTATTACTATTATTATTATTACCATCATATTTATGCTCCCTGTCTTAATCCTTTATGAAATATGATGATCAGATTTCAATGCAGTATTTGGCTGATGATTTATAGAGAGACACAGCCTCGTAAGTAAAGCAGTCTTTCCTTTTGCCACGATGATTGCTCAACCTCTTTTCCTCAGTTTTCCTGTGTAGTTTCCGGTTGCATCAAAGGCATAAACCCTCTCAAAGAACTGCTTTTCCTCTTTCTGCCTTTTTGCTGAGCAAAGACTGAGATAAGAAGACCCCTTGATGATTTGGGCTGCTATTTTTTTCCTTCACTGATAGAGAAAGGTTTTGTGAAAATGACCTGAAATAAGCATAATATAAGCCTGGGAGCCAACTTGGATGCATTTGAATGACCGTGGCCCAAATCAAAGTTTTCACAGAACTGCTGTAGCTGGAGAGCACATTTGGAGTTTGTTTGCTCCAAGCACAGGCACAGTAGAATCACAGGCACAGTAGAATCAAATAGAACAGTTTTCTCAGGACCATGTCCAGTTAGGGTTTGAATATCTCCAAGAACGGAAACTCCACAATCTCAAGAAGCAACCTCTTCCAGTTTTTTTAATACCTTCCAAGTAAAAAGGGGGGGAGTATGTTTAAATGGAATTTCCTGTATTTCAATTTGTGCTTCTTCCCTGTTCTTTGGTATTGAGAAGACCCTGCAGTGTGTTCTTTACTCACTCCAATCAGATGTTCACACATGCTGATGAGATCCCTCCTGAGCTTTCTCTTCTCCAAACTGAACATTCCCATCTCTCTCAGCCTCTCCTGGTATATCAAATGCTCCAAGCCCTTTATCATCATTGTGGCTTTCAGCTGCAGTTGCTCCAGTATGTCCACAACTTGCTTGTCTCAGGGAGCCCAGGACTGAACTCCAAATCTGTTTCATTGGTGCTGAGTACAGAGGAAGAATCAATTCCTCCTGCCTGCTGGCAACGCTCTTCCTAGTGCAGCCCAAGAGGTTGTTGACTTTTTTTTCTGCAAGGGCACACAGTGGGCTCATGTTCAACTTTGCATCCCACAGGACTCCAAGATCCTTTGCTAGGACACTGCCTTCTGGTTGGCTGGTTGGTTGGAATAACATGTACTGGGGCATAGGATTATTCCTCTTGTGGCACATAACTTTGAATTTTCCTTTGTCACACTTTATGAAATTCCCCCCAACTCACTTCTCCAGCCTGCTGAGGTTCCTCTGAAGGGCAGTACAAACAACTGGTGTATCAACCACTCCTTCCACTTCATAACCATCTGCAAATTATCAGGCTATCAGGTTGGTAAGCATCATATCCCTTTTGCAAATCCACGCTTACAGCTTCCAGTCATCTTCCTGTCCTAGAGATGTTTGCAAACGGCTTCCACATTTTTTTCTCTATCACCTTCTCTTCTCAAGGATTGAAATAAGGTTGACTGACCTATAGTTCTCTGAATCCTCCTAGAAGACAGGTGTTACCATTTGCTTTCTTGCAGTTTTCAGGAACTCTTCCTAATCACCATGAACTTTCAAAGATAATTGAGAAAGGCCTCACATTCTCATTGTCCCTCTCTCAGGACTTGTATGTGTATTCTGTCAGGTTCCTTGTACTTTTGTGTGTTCATTTTGTTTAAATGTTCCCCTATCCTGATATCTCTCTGCTGAAGATAAATGTTGATAGCTGCAGGTTTCCTCTCTGGTTGCAGATACCTTGGATTACAGTATGCAGATTTTCCCAGTAAAGACAAAGGTGATGGAGGCATTGGGTAAACTCAGCTTTTTCTATGTCCCATTCAGCAGAAGACACATATTTTCCTTAGTCTTATTTTGGCTGCTGATATACTTACAGAAGCCTTAATGCCCTTTAAAGTCCCTTGATTAGCTCAGGTGCTGGTGGGCTTCTACTTTCCCAACTCTCTACATTCCTTGCACTAGGTCAACTGACTCTGCTTCTTTTATGTTTCATAGAATCATAAAGATTGGAAAAGACCTCCAAGACGATTGAGTCCAGCCTTTAACCTATCACCATCTTTGTTAAGTTTGAATTGTACCAAGATGGAAAAACTCCATTTGTCAGGATGGACTGTTCTTGAGTGTTAAGGATAATGATCCTGGAGAATCAGTAGTTCTTCTGGGATGATTCTTCTCTTTTTTCCAGGACCATCTCCCATGCTGTTCTTCCAAAGAGATCCCTGTAAAGGGTGTTCTCCTGAGCTCCAGGGTTGTAGCTCTGGTATTTGCCTTGTCCATTCAGTCTCCTTTTAAAAAACTAATTTTCTCTGCAAATATGTGAGGGTGACAAAAAGACAGCGCATTTATTGCCTTCTGGAACTCATTTGGCTAGGCCATAATTTTTTTCTTTTAAAATATTGAGAGCAGCTGAATGGGTATTATCAGAAAATTCAACTTCTCTTTGGGGCTTATACTATGAAAAAGCAATACTAAAAAATCTGTTTCAAACAACTACATAGGGATAGTCAAATCAACTACTTAATACAGCATCAAATGAAAGGGAACTATCAATATCTATCTATTTCTATCAATAGTGTTTGAAATGAAAAATTAGACTTTGTAAATAAGAAGTTTTATATACTTTCATGGTGCTGATCATCTATGAGGTGATATTCAGAAAAATAACTTTTCCTTATCACATTAATTATTTTCCATTTCCAGACTCAAGACATTCTTTGTATTTTATTCTTTGGCACTAGATTCCTCCTCACACAAAATCTTGGAATGTTTCTGTGGCTGTGCATTCAGAAAAAAACCCTGAAAAAAGCCTTATATTTTCAATCCTAAGCAATTAACATTAAGCAGGATTCTGGATATGATTATATGATTTATAAGCATTATCTGTAATGGAGAGAGCAGAATATGTAGAAGAAGTAGACATTAGACATTCAGCTGGATTGGCTAAGGTACAGTAAAGGCATTAACTCTCTTGAAACCTCCTATAAAGGATACCCAGCACTAATGGAAAAATAAAACCTTTCATCTACTATACATGGCTTATTTCATTTTCAGCTTATATCAGCAACAAGAACATCAGAGGACGGTACTTCCTGTGGATTAATGCTTGGCTTGGGTTAATAAACTTGGTTGTGACCACAGCTATCAACTCGCCTCAACCCTTGATTAGGCTCCTGGAAATGCTGGAATACAGGAATAGAGACTATAAAAGACCAGAGAGTATTTTCCTGCATTTATGAATTGTGTGTTTGTGTCAAACACATTGAAAACAATGACAGAGGTCAACATTGGTCACAGCAGGATTCTTACTTGTACTAACACCTTTGAGATACAAGCAGCTGTCTTTCCTACCTTTTTTATAATTCTCAAGCCAACTGTAAGAAACAATATTTCTTTACTATATCATTTTTTAAAATAGTGTATGCTTAAATATTCTGTATTTACTGGAAGCTGCAGGACTTGTGGTTTGAAATTCAAGCTGAGGACTTAGTCATGGCTCAGAGGAAGGAGAAGAAAGAATCTGGTATTAGTGCCAGTGCTTAATGACCAAGACTGGAGAGCCCAGCCCTAACTACACTGGTCTTTTGTGGTTCCTCTTGTGTTAGAACAAGCAGAACTTGATCTTGTGCTCATTGCTGAGACAGTAGTTTGCAATATTCTGGGAAGCAGGCAAAACATGGCCATCCCCTGTGTTTCCTGGGTGGCAGATCCTGATGATATATTTATTAAAGCTTCTCTCTCTACAAGCTTTTGTTTTCTGAATAGATTTTTGAATTAGAGCCTTTGTTTTCTTTAAAAGTTGCAAGACAAAAAAGCAGTCAGAAATGAAGGAAAGTGTTCCAAATAAATAATTCAGTGCAGTGTTTTCCTATGTACAATTGAGACCAAAATAATGTGAGAAATGATAGAAGATCTTTGACAATTTGAAAGACTGTTCTCCAAGCTCCAGGGGAATGCTGATGCTTTCTGCAGGAAACTCAAGCACAAGCTGACCCCCACAAAGCATCTCTAAGGCATGTGGGCAT